AAACGGCGGTGCAAGAAGAGGAGGAGGAGGCGGGATCTGGCCACGGACTGCTTTATTGCGCGTCTGCCGGAGGCGGGAGGGCCGCGGCGGAGCCCTCAGCAGCCGCAGCCGGGCTGCGGGGGCGCCTCGGCGGGGCCGTCGGGGAGGAGGGCGCGGGGCCCGTCCACGCACCGCTCCATGCGCTCCATCAGCAGCCCCAGCAGCGCCTCCACGGCCGGGCCCACGTTGGCGCCGTTGGCGGCGCTGGTCTCGAAGTAGGGCGCCCTGCAAGCACAGCGGGCAGCGTCAGGCGGGCGGAGGGGGCGCCCGGGGCAGGCAAAGAGTCGCCTCTCCCGCCGCCGCCGCCCGCGAGGCCCGCGCAGGAAGCCGCCACTTGCCCGTATTTGCCTGCCAGGCGCTTGGCCTCGTCCTCCTTCACCACGCGCTGCCCCTCCAGGTCGCTCTTGTTCCCGCACAGCACCACGTCGGGGCTCTGGCAGTAGGCGTGGGTCTGCAGCTGGCCTGCCGGGAAGGGAAGCGGGGAGCTGGAGCCCCTGGCTTGGCTGCCCCCCTGCTTAAAAGCCCTCGGGGCTCCCACCGGCATCCCGGCAGTCAGTAACCCCCCCCTGGGTTCCCATCGGGCTCCCTCGCGGCTGGCCCTTAGCTTAGCCCAGTCCCGCCGCGGTGGCTGCAAGTGGGATGAGACTTACTCATCCAGTTCCGGACGTTGAGGAAGCTTTGCTCGCTGGTTAGGTCAAAGAGCAGGAGAAAGCCCATGGCGTCCCTGAAGAAGGCGGTGGTCAAGCTGCGGAACCTACCAAGAGGAAGGGCCAAGCATCATTACCCTGCTGCTCTCTCCTCTCAGGCTGACTCCATGCCTGTCCCCTGAGCCACATCTGGCCTTCTTTAGGCTTTCTCCTTAAGGACGAAATATCTGAAGTTTTAAAAGTGATAAAGAACACAGGTTCCTCAGCCATAGGAAACGCCCAGTGCAGAGGTCGGAATACTGAGGGATTGCCAACCTCTGCGTGCACTGAGGCATCAAGGCGACTGGTCCCATCAGGAGCCAAATGGGCCGGGTAGTGGAGGTGGGTGGTTCGGTCCATTTTTCAAGCATGCTCACCTTTCCTGCCCTGCTGTGTCCCACAACTGAAGATGTATCCTCTGTCCTCGGCCGCTGACCCCATCTGGTCTGTTAGGTCGGTACACCTGGTTCCAAAAGGATTTGTGAATGTCTCCAGCCATCAGCTGACAAACCAGGAATCTTTCTCTCTCCCTCCCCCCTCCCCCAATGCTTTGAGGAAGCCAATAGATCCTTTGCTTTCTTCATTCATGGAGAATATTTTAGAAAAGTAAGCAGATTCGTGTCTCACTGATGTTTGTATAGGTAAATCCATGGTGCTAAATCCATGGCCTCCTTCTCATGTGAGCCTATTGCAATAGTTTCCTGCAGTCCCATGTTTGCTTCGTATGCCCTTCCATCTGGTAGTTTCCCAGAATCTCAGTGTTTCTGCCTTCTAACCCATTATGCTGCTCCTGTAAAAAAAAGGTTGATTCCCCCTTTTCCTATTATGCTGGTGTTTGTAGCGCATGTCTATATAGTGCATCTACAATTTGCACAGAGCTTCAGCTCGCGTTTGCCATTCGCCCTCCTCCCGGCAGTAGCACCCATGCTTCTTGCACCCATGCATAGGCCCCGACTCTGACATGTCTGAATCTGCAAAATTCCCTTCAGGGTGAACCATGATTAAATATTCTTTTTTTTTTTTTAATGTACAGGAATGTCCCTCGACACAGCAGCCCCATATCCACAGGGAAGAAGCAGCAAATTTCAAACTTGCCTGCAGAAACCATATTGAAGAGCTGCAAACTTGGCAGCACTGTGTCTTTTGTTGGGCACAAAAACACCAGATCCACAAGTAGCAAGTTGTAAGCCTGGAGGAGGACTGAGGGCAGGCAGTCCCACACAAGGAATATGAATTCCCTCCAGAGCACGGCTGGGAGCTTGGAGTGGAAGACAGTCCTTTCTCTCTCTGGAAAAATGCCAGGGAAGGGCCCAGGGCTGGCAGCGTTGGAGGCAGGATTGTTTTCTACACTGTGGAACGGGGTGGTATGTGCCAGTGGATTGAACCAGCTCTCTGGAAAGCTTTGCTCTTCTTGGACTGATCTGAAAGCAAGACTGCTTTGCAGAAATCTCATGGGAGGAAAGAAAGTCTCTATCAGCCACTGACAAAAGTCTCAAGTTCATCAACCTGTAGAAGGCCAGATGTGGACCACCAGGGGCAAAGTTTCCACTAGAAAGGCAGAGTCATTTAGACAGCCTGCCAGAGCCGTTCAAAAGGGCAGCCGAGGACTTTGCGCAGGAGAGCAAAGAACCAGGTGCGGGGGTTTTGCAGACGACACCCCGCTTGGGCAAGCAGAAAGAGGCAGCATTTGGCTACCAGCTGCCTTCTGCTTGGAGGGCATCCTCCCCCCCCCCCCCCCCGTTTCCACTCTTGGATGGGTGGGTGGCTGGAAGGCCACTCTAGTCCCTAAGTGGTGGTTTTTTGTCACTGTTTGGTCTCCATGCAGTAAGGGTGGGTGGCTGGGAAGGCAGCAGGAGTTCAGGCCAAAGGCGCTTCTGAAGACCGACCGAGAGGACGGAAGGCAGAGGGGGCGGGGAATCTGAAAGGAAAAGCATCTTGGCCTCTTCCCTTCTTCCTTCGTCTGCCCCAACATCAGGCACGGTTTCCTGAATGATTTCCTTCTGCATAGCTCATCTACAATTTCTCCCAAAAAGGAATGCAGTTGGAAGGGACTTACCAGCCTTTTTTCCTGAAAATCAATGCCTACAGTTGTGATGAATTTGGAATTGAATTTCCCATCTGTGTACTGGTAAAGGAAACTGGTCTTTCCAACCCCAGAATCACCAAGGGCTAGGAACTTGATAAGGTAATCGTAGTCCCTGTCAGACATACCGAGTGATCCTTAGTAACAGCCTGAAGGGGGGAAGAAAGGAAGAAAAGTTTTGAGTCCACGGTCTCAGAGGAGCCTCCCGAGTGGGTGGGGCCCAATAAGAGGCTCAAAGGGACACAGTGGGTGCCTGGAACGCTGTTCCACATCTCGTCCACAGGTAGCACAACATGGTTGGCGGGTGACTTTGGTTCACTACAGGTATCAAAAGGAGCCTCTTTGGATCTGGGCCATTGGGTGTGGAGCTGCATGGAGGTGAGGTCAGCAGACAGGGCTCAGAAGGCGCCTAAATGGGACTGGAAGGCCAAGACTTCTCTGGGGCCCAGCACTCATTCCAGGAGATGCTGCTGCAGGTGGGGGTACCCAGCCCTCCCTGGTCGTCTTGTAAAAGACAGGCTTTCCCCACAGATAATACTAGGGGGATGCTCGCTTTTGAAGTCCCTCTCTGTGGAAAAGGGGAGCCGTGTTCTTTCAGCAGACTCCCGCTGCTTCCTCCTCCTCCTCCTCCTCCTCCTCGGAGGTTGCCTTCAGGCTGCCTGTAGGAGTCTTATCGATGCTTCCTCATTTGTCCCCAAGCACAAACATACCCTGGGCATCTCTTCCTTCCTTCTCTGTGACAAGGACAGAGACGAATCATTTGGATTTGATCAGGAGGCGCGAGGCCTGCTGTCTCCTGGAGCCCCTGGCTGCCTGCAGTTAGATTTTGCCCACCAATCTGCATGTTTTCATTACTGGGGAAACAGTGGCTTTATCCCTTCTACACAGGTTGTCTAATAACGCAAGCTCGGTTTCAGATCAGTCTTGGGCATTTGACAATTGGAAGTGAGATAGAGAAAGCAGAGGAAGGAAGGCAGCTGCTCCCGAGGAATATAGCTGAGCTCATCATGCTGAACTTCTGAAATTGGCCAAGAGGGAAGGCGCCTCCTCCCTCCGCAAATATTGAATCTGCAGCCTCCTCCCTTTGTCTACTTGGATTTTGGATTGCCCAGGAGTTGCTTTTTGGCTAATGCCAAGGGGATCCTCCCCAGAATGCCTGGCAAAGAGGCTGCCTGCACATCCAGGATACAGGCGGGGCAGGAGCATCCCTAGTGCAAGACTCATGATGGAGACCCCCCCTTCAGGAGTGTAGATTGCAGGACCCCCACCCCTCCCGCCAATCAACCTCGCAGGGGATCCCTAGACAGCTTCAGCTAGCCTGCAGTGCCAGACCCCCAGCTTGACATCTGGGAGGGAGGATCAGTCTTCTACTCTGCCAATTGGAGGGCAATGCCAGAAGGCTAATCTTTGAATTTGCACCCTGCGTGGCTGCCCCAGTAGCCATTGCAAACAGCCTCCCCCGGACCTTTGTGAGCAGACAGATATGGGTTTTCTTAGGAACGTCAAGCTCTCTCTTTTTGTCCAGGGCATCCTGCACAGGAGGCTTGTGAGCGATCTCTGCCTCCCCACCTCCTTTTTGCATTAGCCACCTACATTCCCTGACGGTATTGGCGGCATCACCTTGCCCGCAGCCGGTCCATTTCCACAGGAGCCTCCATGCAGAATGCTGGGTTTAAAAGGGGGAAAGGGGCTGCCTGCTTCCACTGCTTGGCACCTGCCTCACTCTTCCCTGGTCATTCCACCACCCTGAGAGGGCCCAGGCTCAGGATGCCACCCCCGCTCCCCAGCGGCTGCTTTGCAAGCAGTCAGGCTGAAGCCCTCCTGGTGAAGGGAGTCATTTCCCCAAGTGTGCCTCCCCCTCCTCTCCCTCTACCCACTGCAGCGAAGAGGCTGCCCGCTCACCCGTTGCTGCTGCTGCTGCTGCTGCCGCCAGAGTTACCTTGGGCTGGACTCCCGAGCCCCACCTGCTTCTCGCCCAGCCAGGAACAGCAGCAGCCGCAGCTTACGTGTCACCTGGAGACTGCCATGGGTGGAAGGTGTGCTTCCTGAGGCCAGCCAAGGGCATCGGGGCTGGGAAAGGGGCTGTGCCATCACCCCTCCTCATTTGCAGGAGCTGAGGCTGCATTCAACACCACCTGGGCTTCCTCCTGCCAAGCGAGTGGGCTCAGTTGGGCAATTCCCAGGGCAGCCTTGTGTCCGGGCATCCCAGTCCCTGCAGAGGGAGCTGCCTCCACCAAGGACTAGCAAACAGGTAGGCTTGGCAGGAAGAAGAGCTAGTCTAGGAAGGGAGTGGAACTCTCTGAGTCTGACTGAAGGATCCAGACTTGGGCGTGGCATGAAAGCGGTGGGGGGGACGCAAGAGAGGGGTGTCTTCTGCTGCATAAACTCAAAGGTGCCAAGGAGGTTTAGCAGGGTGCTCGCCACGTACCTTTTAGCAAGACCTCCCATATGCTGGAGGGCTGTGCGGGCGCATGTGCAAATGTGGGCATTTACTCTGAAGGCTTCAGCAGCTCAAATTTCATCGGCAGACTACTACGATACTAGACCCGTTCTGCCGCTTATCTTTTGCCCCACGCAGCCTCCGTATAATAGTGGCCCTTCCTCAGGCGCAGACCCTCCGCAGCTGCCTTTCTGCAGGTACAAAACCAGCCCAGGATGCCTCCCCCACTTCCCAGCCCTGTAGGATTTCCTCTGTGGTGGTGGTGGTGGAGGAGGAGAGCCGGGAAGGCCTTTTGGCTGAAGGCCAAGAGGGGAGGGGGAACAGCGGCAGACCTCCCAAGCTCTCTCTCCAGCTGAAGGGCTTCCATGGCCTGACAACCAGAGGGAAAATGCACTGATCCCAGAGGCTCTCGCGCCCTCACTCTACAGCGCAGAAGGCATCTGGAGCTCCAAAAGCTGAAAGGAGATGCATAGTGGTGTGGCTGGCTTCAGTAGGAAATGGTGCTGTCAAGGGCTTATCAGTCATTTCTCTTGCTAAATCAATTTGATTGCGCCTCGTTTTCTTTTATACCTCATCAGAGCAGAACTTATGCAAAGCCTCTCCAAGTGCAGAGAATTCACATCCTTTTCAAAAGAGCCCCCAGACTCAAAGGCTCACGGCTGGACCCAAACCGAGGGCACCAGAATAAACCTGCCTACAATTCCACCCTCACCCCATGTTAAGTTTGCAAAGCAGGGAGGGCATCTGCTCCCTTTGATTGAGGACATAAAAAAGCAGAAACAATGGAAAAGATGAGAGCTTTAAAATGTGACTGCGTACATATGAGCATGGCTAATACTCCCAAGGAAATCTTTTGGGACTGGGGGACCTGCAGTCTGCCTAGATGGCTTATTTCGGCGGAGTTCAACTCCTTTGCCCTCCTGTTTGCGCACTGTCTGAAGAATGAATCCGCTAGTACAAGATGCAGTGCTGGCGTCAAAAATTAGTGGGACCAATTTGAGGGAATCTGGGGGAGCAACGGCTCTTAGTGAGGCTGCTTCTGTGGGGCATTTGGTGGGAGGAGGATGGGCTTTCTTGGGCAATTGGCATACATTATGGAAACAGGCTGGGTAGGATGGACCAGGGGGCCCCCTGTAGTTATGGATATTGGGGATTCACCAATGGCCTCAGGACAGCCAAGACTCCACTCCGGACACATAAACCATTTTCTCTTAAAGGGGGTGTATTGCTGAGTCAAGGCAACTGCAGCCAAACCACTTTACAAAGTGAAGATGCTTTAAAAGCCGCCAAAGCATGGAAGACTGTCCCCCTGCTTCCGCCATTCAAGCTGCCGGTACCTTCTTCTGCTATGCCAGCGTTGCCACCACGTTTACCTCCGCATCCCTTCTCAGAGTGGGTACGGAGTTGGAGACTGGCTGAGGGTCAACCTGCAGGATGACTGGATGGGAACATTTCCTGCAGCTTATCAAGCTATAACAGGCTGCGCAAACAAGAGAAGCCCCACCTGCGGGATAAAGGCAGCCCGTCCCATGAACTGGTCCCCAGCGCCCGAAAGGTTGGGGGCAGCTGACCTATAACCATTGCCTCCGTTCTGGAGCAGCAGGAAACCAAGAGATTGTCCAGGAGGCCCATCCTGAACTGAAGAGCTGCCACGGTGTCTGAGAACGTGAGTGGCGCATACATCTGCTTGGAAAGAGGTTGGGAGTTGAAGCGGCCAGAGGCTCTAGAAACAAAGACCATCGGATGCTCAAGCGGTCTGGAACAGGCTAGCCAGGAGGGAGGCTCCAAGCCCAACCAGGTGCCTGGGCTGGCTCTTGTCCTCCAAGGAGCCTCAGCTGGCGGCAGTCATGTGGCTGATCAAGTGATGGCACTCCGGATGATGTTTTTCACTTCCAGAAAAAAGGGGGCAAAGGGGGAGGGGAGGGGGGAGGAAGAGGAGGCGCAGTCCCTGGTTGGAGCCCCTTGCAGCAACATCTGTCAGACCCTCCAGCAGAGGGTGGGGATCTTCCTTGCCATGCCCAGCTCTTCTTTACATGGTGGAAGTATCAGGTGTGGTGGAGTTGCTGAGCTAAGCAAAGGCTAATTTTTGCTACAACAGGCCTGGAGAAGTTGGCCTTGAAGGCCAGCAGTGATTCCAGCCTGGAAGGGGGCAGGAAGCAGCAATATCCCTGCGTCCCATCACAGCTGGAACAACTGTCTCTCCTGAAGCAGAAGCCCCTTTTGCTCCATTCAGAGGGGAATATTTTGCAGGGGCCTGCAGCTGCTGACTAGGGGTAGGAGTCTTTTGGAGGGCCCGTTTGTCTGTTTTGCCCAAACCGGTTGTTCCCTACCTCAGCCGATTCCAGACCCAGGACTGTCAAGAGAAGAGAGCCATCAGCCCTGGAGTCACTTTCCCTCCTGCGAAGGCCGGATGTCCCAGCTTCTCCAGGACCAGTTTGGACCCCTGTGCAAGACGGGGAGTTTGCCCATCTCCACCCTGGTTGCCTCCAGGTGTGGCTGGGTGGGGTGGGGGGGTTACTTACGTCTTCCCCGTGGGCTGCACCTTCAGGGCTACTGACAGAAGGATTAGTTACCCACCGGCGGTTTCTTGTGATTTAAAAGAATAATGTCCTTTATAAGGTAATAAATGCGGGATAACAAATAAACAAACGACACCCGGCAGCCCTTGAACATCACATTCTAGGAATTCTGCTCCCCTCGAGGGTCATTCATAAGAAGCAGCGAAAGCGAAAGCGAAAGCGGCGGGAAAGAAAGGAAGAGCCGTTTATTCCGCCTCTGGGAGGGGAAAAGTCTTATGTCCGCTTAGGCCACCAGCGCCGCCGAGGAGGAGGAGGACGCGCGCTCCGCTTCGGCTCACGGGCGGAGATGGCGGCGTCCACCGAGAGGCCCCCTGGGCGGGCGGGCAGGAGGCGGAGCAGCGGCGGACGAGGCGTCCCGGGAGTCCCGCTTGTCCTTCGGGGGCGGCCTCCTCCTCCTCCTCCTCCTGCAGCTTCAGGGCGGGCGCTCCTAGGCGGGCGGCGGCGGCGGCTCGGGGTCGGAGAGGGCGCGCAGGCGGGCGGCCTCCTTCCGGATGGGCTCGGCGCCGTAGATGCCGCCGCCCACGCCCAGCACGAACACCGTCACCAGGCGCACCAGCGGCTCCCACCCGCGCATGGCGGCGATGGCGGCGGCTTCGGCGGCTGCGCACGCGCGGGGAAGCGGCCGAGGCTGGCCTTCCGCGCCTGCGCCCTCCCTCCCTCCCTCCCTCCCGCCGCCCACCCCCCGTCCGCCTCCCCCAGGATACCCGAAGGCCGCCCG